GGGTGGGGGGGGGGGGGCGGAGGAAGGACCAAGCGAAAAAAATAGAAGGCCTATTGGATTTCCCAACAACAAGGCCAAAACTGCCCTGAAACTGCCCTGGTTGCTAAATGCCCAATTATTGCGTCCTCAAACAGAATTATTTGCAACTTAACAGCGAATTTAAACCGATACAGGTAAATTAAACTCATTTATAGTATAAACTTACTATTTTTATTTGTATGCACGTCTAGAAAATCGGGATTTTTTATCATAAAGTTTGAAGCAACACTATTATTATGTTGACAAGGTGTAGCGAAAGCACAAGCAGTCTTGTGTTTGTAAAATATACAAACACATATACAATTATAATTTATTAAATAAAACGGATACACATATTATTAGCCCGTACAGTACTGTATAAAACGTACATTGTTTACAAATGGTATATCCGTAATACTTGATCGAACAATAATTTCAAAATCCACATTCCCGATTCGCAAATATTGTTATTCAAAGCAAAACAGTAGATTGTCTTGCGAATAAAAGAATTATTTCCAATATAAATCAGTGCATGTACAAAATTGTTGGAACTAAAGATGTTTAATACAATTTAACGCAACATTTATAAGATTCTACTTTTGGTATATATTTTGACTCATTTTGTGCTTTCGCTACACCTTGGCAACATAATAATAATGTTTCTTCAAACTTTATGATAAAAAACCCGATTTTCTAGACGTGCATACAAATAAAAATAGTAAGTTTATACTATAAATGAGTTTATTTGACCTGTATCAGTTCAAATTCGCTGTTAAGTTGCAAATAATTCTGTTTGAGAACGCAATAATTGGGCATTTCGCAAGCAGGGCAGTTCTTGGGCAGTTTTGGCCTTGTTGTTGGGAAATCCACTAGGGCTTCTATTTTTTCGCTTGCGTTAGGCTTGCGTCCTTCCTCCGCCCCGCCCCCAAATCACCTAGTCCCAGTCTTTTCATGTGAAAAAGCGCTGAATATTAAAAAAATATAAATAAAAATAGAAGGCCTAGGTCTAGGCTGATAGTTGGCTATGTTACGATTAGTATTGAGATGGAACATGAGCGGAGCCGCTGGGCGAAGCGGCGCAGGCTTGAAAAGGCGAAGGCGAGGAAAGGCGCGAAGCCTTTGCACGACGAGACACACAATATGGCGGAAACCCGGAGGGGTTGTATAATTACCAAACGCAAAATTCTAGTCAAAATGGCTCAGAAAATATCTCTTTATAACACTAGTACTGCATATATAAAACACTACATATCAAGCGAACAGGTTTTGGTAGAAGGCGATGCTTTGATTCGCCAATATGCGAAGAAACTTGTAGATAAGCAGAGAAATGTATATCTGTATTTTTAGAAATGTGTCCAAAATCGCATAAAAGAAAAAAAAGAGCATATATGCAGCATACAGAACCGTGAAATTTATTATCAAGACTATCATTTAAACTATATCAACTTCAGCAATATTTATAAACAAACGTGACCTTGTCTATAGATTTCATTCCGAACGTACTTTTGCCTATCGACCCGGTTATTTCAGCATGACTCCGATCCACCTTTACTATACGAGTAAATTCTTAAACACGTCCGATTTTATCATTATGATAAATTCGCGGCACATTTTGAATCTATCATAATAATAAATTCGCGGCACATAACACTAACCCTAACGCTAACCCCAGCCCTAACCACTAACCACTAACCCCTATAAACCCCAAACTTTTTAAACAATTTAAACTTTTTAAACTTTTTAAACTTTTTTAACTTTTTAAACTTTTTTAACTTTTTTATCTTTTTTAACTTTTTTGAAAATCTAACTTTTTAAACTTTTTTTGCTTCTTAAAACTCTTTTAAAACTTTTTTAATTAAACTATTTTCTTGAAAATCTTGAAATGTTTGTGGTTTTATGATTAACTCTATTGATAAATTCAAAATGTGCCGCGAATTTATCATAATGATAAATTCGGACGTGCTTAAGAATTAAGAATTTACTCATGTAGCAAATTCAAAGGTGGAGCCTATGTTGGGTTATTTGGAGGTTCGTATCTGTGGTTCAGTACATGCTAAATCATAAAATGTAGATGAAAATACCACCGTTTGATTCAGTACAAAAAAGATATCTTATCATTCACTTTATAGTATTCTCAATTTTGATTGGTTAATTTACCTGCAAGGGGGGGGGGGGGTGGCTGCAAGTAACTGCGTGCAAATAATAGTCTGAGCATGCGCATTTCTTAAAAACGTTGCTCAGCTACAAATAATAGTCTGAGCATGTGCATTGCCTTCAATTTTTGTAAAAATGGCGGCTCGCTTTGCTGAACTTTCGGAAGATGAGTTGTCTTGCTCACTTGAAGAAAAAAATGCTCGTTGTATGTGTTCGTACGTAACACAACAAAAGATAAAGCAAGCTTTATAAGAGAATGATAAAACAATTATTGAACTCGGTTCTCGCAAAATATCGTGATTTGTCGTTGGCTCGCTCGCAGGGGCCGGTTGTACGAAGGTCGGATAGCGCTATCCACCTGATAGTGATTTTTTCAACCTTTGTAAAATGCTCGAAAAACTGTGAAACTACGGATATAGACGACACAAGAAGTATAGAAGTCATTTAACTTATAAATACTAAACTTTAATACGAGTTATACCAATCAACGACTGATTTAACGAAGCTTGAAAAAATCATTATCCGGTGGATAGCGCTATCCGGCCTTCGTACAACCGGCATCGGCAAATAATTGATCTGCTCGCCACCGCGGACAAATCATGACAATATTTTGCTCAACCTCGTCCAAAAATTGATAACTAAGGTGCTCGAAAAACTATGAATCTTTTAATATACTGACAGCCTATAAAATCTATGTAAACCATAAGCATGAAATTTATATGTTTATATGTGAAATATGTAAGGTATAGACCTTCAATTTCCATTGACACAGCAAATGTGATAAAATCGAATGCACTGATCTAAAAATCAGTGATCGAATGCAGTCGTGATAGTCCTTTGTGTCGCATTTTTCGAGGCTGTTGGCACTCTTTCTACCTCGAGTGTAACCTACCAGACATCAGTGCTTCAGTGCTTGCCCGATTTGTAAATATCCTCTCAAGTCAAAAGCAGAAAGCTTGGACCAACGAGGCAGTCATAAACGGCGATTCTTCTACATTACTTTAGTGCTACATGGCCACTGCTGGCAAAATTATAGTCGTGTAGTGACCGACTGCCAGTAAATTTAACTCCAAAATCGCAGTGAAAATGCCTTCTTTCTCAAATGACCCGAGCCCCTCTTAAATATTTCCGGATATATGCCTTCGCTTCAATTCCTTTTGAATCATAACACGTTTTTGACCTATTCGAGAGTGACCTTGCATATACGCTGTTTTTTGAATGCGGATAATTTCAAAACTAAGCCATGAAACGCAAATCCCAGCGGCAAATTTTTCCAAAATTTTATATTTTATAGGATTTCATTGAAATAAGTCCCAAAAATTTAAAAAACTGCCCCCCCCCCCCCCCCATGGCTTTATTTACGACCGTAAATTTCGTGTTGAAATACGCATCTAAACCGGAAGCAGTAAAAATGTATGCGTTCAGATTGGCTTAGCACCAAAAGGTAAACAAACGAAATTTGCCCTTGTTTACACCCTATATATTATCAAATTATGCAATATTACCTGATAAATATAAACTATGCATACCTTTCGCCGAACGATAAATTCGGACCCTTGGGACACATCCTCTTTATTTATTTATTATTTATTTACAAATATTTTAAAACGGTAACCCTTCAGTAAGTCTGATTTTCAAGGGCTCGTGTCTATTTACAAAAATATTAATTCTAAAACAACTTACTAAAAATATATACACAAACAAAACAATCATGCAAGTTTTATAAGTCGATATACAGCTATTTCACTATACATGTCCCCCGAGCAAAGCGGAAAAGTCGAATACGAGCGCGAAAGGCTGCTGGGAATCTCTAATAAATTCATTCATTTATCGATCAAATTCGCGATCAAATTTAACAGGGCATTCCTCTAACTTTTCCACCCATCTCAGGATTTTTCATGGCATCTGACATCTTGAAACCGGTCCATCCAAACATCCAATCAGCCCTGTACTATATTATCTATGTATGGTCTGTCGTTAAGGTTGAACATTATACTGAACTTTTCCTTTTAAATTTTAAACTATGTCCTTTTAATGACAAAGAAATCAGAGTTGTTATGAAATAGGCATATCCCTTCTACCATTTCACCCAATTCTTTGCAATATCCATTAATCATAATTAACAAAGGGAGATGAATTTTAAAGAGCTATAACTGTTTTCGACTTTCCGTTTGTTGTGGCTGAGTGTTGAACTTCATTTTTGTTTGAAGATTAATTACACTGGCCTGAAAGGTCAAGTGTCTTAAATCCCTAAATATCTGGGGTTTTCCTGGGTTTTTTTCGTCGTCGAGAAATCGAGTTTGCGTTAGCGCATCGCAGGCTCAGTTTCCAGTGTTTCAGTCGTTCCAGTTTACTATAGGGATCAGTTTTCAAGATGGCGACCAATCAATGAGTGTCTATTTCAGTGTCAAGCAATTTATTCATTTGTCAACAAATTTTAGCACGTTTTTCTGTGGATTTTCGATTTATCCTACTCTGCACTTTCTTGGAAGTTGCCTGGGTATTTTTTTTCGTGCAACGTCTCTGGAAATGCAATATTTGGATCGCTGAGTTTTTCGAATTTTATACGTTTAATACGGACTCACGGAATGTAACAATGTTGTCCGCGTTTATAGCGCATCGCATGCTCAGAGACCATGGGCATTTATGGATAACGTTTGTATTTGTGAGTAATACTTATGTTTCATTGGGCATTATGAAAACATCTCCTGAGCATCACGCCACGCTTTTAGCATTTCGCCGTTTCTCTGTAATATTGTCCCAAGCGAATTTATACAATAGTCATAGAGTGGAATATAAACATGGACAAGTTAAAGGTTTGACAATTTGATTACAAAATATTGTATGCGCGTAGAATTTATACCTCAATATGTTTGTATCATATGCAATCACATATAGTCATTCGCGCATCCGTGATGCTAGTCAATGGCGCGCGACATCCGTGATAGGTCCAAAGCTATTAATAAACCCGCTACTGATCGACTTAAGACTTTTACCCTCAAACAATACATCTATACAAAACG